TTTACATTATGTACTTGGTCAAAATTACTAGAATAGCCTTGAAGTAATGGAAGTACTAGCTTTTCGAAGCTGCTATGGAAATTGTCAAAATGTCTTTTAGTGCACATCAATATAGCATAATAACAATAATTTTACTGATCAGTAGAAATCAAACAACATTAAGAAGGTATTGTTATCACTTGTTTTGTGTTGTAAAGCACTTTTCAAACTATGTTTTTGAGGCTGGTTATAAGTATGTGTTTCTAATATTTTTCTTTGAAAAAAATGAAGGTAATTTTTACTCAGTATTTGCTGTCTGATTCCTCAGCAATTTTTCTGTCTAAGCAGGTGGCTGAAATATCCTATACAAGTTAAAGACTTGATCGTTGTTTTTCAGTTTTATAATGCCCTTGTGCAAAAAAAAAAGAGAAATTCTTCTAATATACAAAATTAGGATACCAATAGCAACAGGAGATATATTAACCATGCTGCAAGTTATTTTTTTCCACATAACCACAAAATGTCCCCATTTTAACTACATTCACCTCAGTGCCTAAATTACTAGATGTAGTGGTAATGGTGGTTACCTCCTGAATATGATCCAAACCCAAATGATAATTCTGAGCTGATCATGGTACTTCCATTTTTCTACCTAGGGTTTAGTTTAGGAATGATCCCATGATCAAAGATATGGAAAACAAAAACAAAAACAAAAAACAACTCTGTTACATGTTTCTGGGAAAACTTTTCTCATTCCTAAGAAAGAAACACCGGGGAGCCAGATCCTAACTTCCACTGGAAGTTACCGCTCTGGGTGTGACCATGGGAACTGCTGGCCCCGCCCCATTACCGGCCTGAACATGAAGCCAGCACGTGAAGATGAGCAGAGTCCAGGTGGTGGGGGGCTCCCGGAGGAGAGGAGCCAGGGCCTGAGGAGGCCTATCCCTGACAGCGTGTTACATGAAACAATAAATTCCCCTTAGGAAATTTAGATTAAACCATATACTGGTAGTTCCATATAGTTCAATCTAATACAAAGAAACAACGAAAACAATACCCCAAATCCTAACTACCAATAACAAACATTAAAATTTTGATGTATTAAAAGCCATGATAAAAATATGCTTTTCAGAGAAAGCTGACAGTAAAAAGATAGTTCTATACTGTGATAAAATTGTACAGAAGGAAATTCATTAATCTCTCTGGAAATGACTTGTTTCCTGTTATTTTGTGGACAGAACTTGGAAAACGAAGAGGAACCAATTTTAGAAACCACTCTAACAATGAAGGCAGCATCAGTAACAGATGATTCAATAAGAATTACCAGTAGTTGTATTGTACACTAATATGATTCTACATTGCAGTTAGCAAGGCTGGCAAATCTTAATATTTATATTCATCATTTCTATGGTCCTCATTTGAAAAAGAAAGTATAATAGCAAGTGCTGGTAGAGAAGACAGAATGAACAGAATTTAGAATAATTTTCTTTATAAGTATAAATCAAATCAATATTTCAAAAATGGAATGAGATTGAAACAGGAAGAGAAGCCTGAATTACTTAAACTTTTTGAGCCTCAGTTCTCCTACCTTAAAAATAAGAGCAATAGGAACTATTTTGCATGATTATCTTTTATGATTTCATAGCACATTTAAGGAGCCTAGCACAGTGTCTAGGACATCCTGCACTAAAGTAGGTTATTTTCTAGCAAGTGACTATTACAATCTTCCTATTACAGTTCTGTTAACTCCATCTGTTTCATACTTCCCCTGGGCTCAGTGATAGGCTCCTAGATCATATCCCTCTCTAGTAGATATTCTCTGGTACATACCCTCCAATGTCCTCTGAAGACATTCTCTCTACTATTATCATCCATTTCCCTTGGTTTCTTCTACTATTTATATGGCCGTTCTGGAAAGATCTTGGTGATAAAAGTCTCATTTAGGGCCAACAAAGACCTTATAATACACTCTCCATATAAGTGTTGATTTTTTCTCTTTATTGGGATAAAAAAATGTCATTAACCATGGTTACCATGTTATTAAAGTGAGTCACAATAAGATCTATATGACTCTTTCCCACAAAATAAATTTGAAATGTTGAATACACTGATGGTACAATGCATGTCTAATCTGAAATACCAACATTAAAAGGTCAGAACAAGTACTGCCCATTCAATCAGCTTCAAATTAAGTAAAATAATTTGAACTGTATAGCTCATCACCGAGAATTATCTCTAAGCTACTGAAAGTAATATCAACACACTTCTACCCATACCTCCTTGAAACTGCTTTCCATTATAGAAAAGAAATGTGTCCACCTTGCCCAAAAAATGGGTCCATATCTGCATAGACTTCAAAAAAAATCACAGCAGAGGTCTAGAATCAGTGTATTGTTTAAATGATGTTTAAATGTTATTTATATGATTTTTAATATTGTTTGGAGAATATAAAAGAATAGAAACACTGGTCTTTGCTTCTTGGTGTACTGAAATATCATCTTGCTGCTCATTTTAAAAGAGCCAAAAGTAGATCTGGTCTAGAAAAGAATGTTAAGTCTGATTTTGGCAAGGTCAGAAAGTAATAGTGGGTAATCCCAAGTCTAGCTAAGACTTCTTTGTTCCATAATTTTGGCCTATGTACACATCTGCTAGATTGTTAACTGTATAAGGCTGGGCATTTTGCCCAGTTTTGTTCACCACTGTATTCTCACACCTTTGTAGACTGCCTGGGACACATGGTAGGCAATTTCTTATTACTTTTAATGAAAAAAATGAATCCATCCAACTTAGTATGTTTACTGAAATACCTCCTAGGCCCCTCCAACTCTCATAGTTAAAACTAACTTCACATCCTTTGACCCATAATCTCACTCCTAGAAATTTACTTTGAATATACACCTCCCAAAATACAAAAATATATATACATAAGATGATGCATTATAGTATAATTTGTAATTGCAAACTAATTGAAAACTGCCTACATGTCAAAGTTCAGGCAAAGCACAGGAAAATGACTGAATAAACCATGGTATCTACATACCAAGGAGTGCTGTGCGGCTACAGAAAAATTTCTCCACGCACTTATATATGTGATTTATAGGAGATACTCAGTGCAACAACCACAACAAAAAATAGCACATATTGTACGCTACTCCTTATTTAAGAAAGGCGAGAAACATAAGAAATGCATATTTCTGCTGACCTTTATCAAATGGACCCCAGGGAAGATAAACCAGAAACTGATGAAATTGATTACCTACAGGGGATGAAGTGGGGAGAATGGAGTGGAAGGGATATAAGAGGAAGTGATACTTCCTAAGTATATGTGTGTGTGTATTTAAAAAATATGTTTGTAGAGTTTTTACTTTTGGAACCATGTTAGTGTTAGGAAGGAAAATTTTTCTTCTACCCTTCAAGGTTCTTCTGGTCTAAGAATTAAATTGACATGAGACAAATTAACACAAGAAAATAAAATTTAATTATGTACACACAAGTAATCCATAGAATCATGAGAGATTTCAAAGATAGTGAAGCAAAATGAGGTATACATAACATACATGTCATCCTGGACTAACGAAAAGGAATTAGGGGTCTGGGACTTCAAAGGGAGGAAAGCAATTCACAGGAAGATGGAAAGTAGACAAATTTGTGCTGGGCCATGTAAAAACAATGGGACATAGAGAAGAATTTTAACAAACAGACTTTGCTGAGTTCCTCCTTGTCTACCACACCTACTTCTTATCATCTATGGTGATGGTGCCCTTTCTGGAGCAGGTTCTCTATCTTAATTGTTTTAGGCAATCAGAAGGAAGGCCAAAGTTTTTCCTGAGTCTTTTGAGCCTTGATTGTTTTCAACTTGAAATAATCCATATGTGAAGTTGGCACATCTTGAGGTGATTCACTCTGAACCCCTACAGTAGTGTTTTATCGTATTAAAAAAAAAGAGTAAAATGAGATGGGAAGGAGAGACCCAAAACACAAGGCAGACTCCAATTACTTAAATTATATTTCAAATGACTACTATAACCACACTGTAGAGGGGAGGAAAAAAGAACTAAGTCAAAGCACTTACAATTTCTGACTGAATACTCTCAGTCTTGGGAATGATGGGGTTGTGAGAGGAAAACTGCAAACAAATCCTAACTCTTCTTAGTAGACTGGTTTATTTGTGGAGCTATGAGGCAAAGCAATTCTGAAACTATATTAGCTTTATTATAAGATTGAGCAAATAAATATATTGATGGTGTTGGGACCTAGAATGCTGTTAGAAGTCGTGATCAGGACAGAATAAGGAGAGTACAGTTGTAGGAAAGGAACAGGAAATGAGAACCCAGTGGGAACAGATCATCTATCTCCTTCTCAGGAGGTGAACAGGATGAATAGGAGGCACAAAGTAATAACTTGTATGCATACACATGGGAATATGTGTGTATGTGGCTGTGTGTACATGTGCATACATTTCATAGACATGCCTACTGAAAGGGCCAAGAAGCAAGGATACCCCAGTAGCAAAGAGCTCACTTAGTGCCAACTCAAAAGAGCCAAGATTCCTTGGAGAAATGGCTAATTCCACGGCTGGGAAGGGAAGGTACAAAAATAAGCCTGGAACGTCTTGTTAGGCAGAATGTAAGGAAGTGCTTAAAAAAAAAAAAGGGGAGCAAGTTACAAAAGCAAAGAAGCCAGCTTGAAGATGCTCCCATGGACATGTACAGCAATGAATTATGAGCCTTTGAAAACAGATAAAACCATAATTCCACACTGTCAATAAATAAATAGGTAGATAATACAGAAGGGATGAGGGAGGGCTCTTGCTTGCAACATACTGTCAATGCTGATTGGTAAATATGGAAGGAGTGTTGAAGTTGGAAAATCATAATTTTGTAAATATCATAGTGAAGATTATACCAGGCAAGAATCATGATGAATGAATGGTAAATTTAGGTGGAAATTTTGGCAAATCATTTTCGTAATTTAAAGATATTTCCTTATTAGTTGCAAGGGGACAAAAAAGAGTAACGTACTGGAGAAACTGGATGAAACCTTGAGCAGGTCCATCAACGTTACTACCGCTCACGAAGGACAGATGGACATCGTGTGTTTCCAGATGATATCCTGAGAAGGAGACAGATGATCTATGTACTTCAGCTAAGAATCAATAACTTGAATCTAATTATGATAAAACATTACAACACCAAGTCAATGTCAAATGAGGGAGAAGCAGACTTTCACATCTGTATTATGAGAGAGAGCACACAGGAGAACAGATGAAGGAGAACGTTAAAGATAGGTGAATCTAGGCAAAAATAATAAGATATTCTTTGTACTATTTTTATACCTGTAACATCACTGGAGGTTTGATAGTATTCCCAAACAAAAAGTATTTTTTAAAGTAATACATGAATACATGGTCCTTGACAAAAATACAACATAAAAGGATATAGAAGGAAAAGTGAAAATGAAAATGAACTGTCAACCTCTCCATCTCACCTTTTCCCTGCCAGGAGCTAAGCTTTACAAAGTCAGGATTTTTTTTTTTCCTTTTCTGTTTTTTTCTGTTGCTCTAATGTGTCCCAAGCATCTAGGACAGTGCCTGGCACTAAATAGTTGTTATAGAAATAGCTGCTGCATCATTAATTTATTGAATGAATGAATGACTAGGTAAGCACAGTTAACAATTTGCTGTTCTCCTTACTTTATCTGGACCTAACTATAAATAAACTATAAAAACCTCAAGAAAATTTCATTATCAATTATTCATTGATAATTATTATCATTATTCTGGAAACTTGCTTCTATGTTATTGTTACCATTTCTCCCTCATTTATTCTCCAGATACAATACCTAATTTTGTTCAGAATACCTTTCCAAACCTCTCGAGTAACTTAAAGCCGTCTACTCCCCTTGTTCTCACTGCTAGCATTACGCCACACACGGACCTGCGCCACCTGACTGGTCTTCCCGGTTGCCTTACTCCTCATCTCACTCTTCTCCAACCCATGAATCTTCAAAACACAACACTGTGTTTCACCTGACCTAAAATTTTTCAAGTGGCTTTTCATGACCTATAGAATAACTTCTAACTGGGGATTATGATCTGCTTTCTAATTTTTTATTCTTCCTTACCCCTCGCTCTTACTTTTGCATTCAAAGCTCAAAAATGCTCCATTCACTTATTTTCACACACATTAACATGCATCTATTTAACTTCTTTGAGTTCCTTGAACACTCTATCCTCTCCTTTACCTCTGGTATTTGGTGCCTGCTCTACCCTCTCTAGCCCCACCTTACATTTTTCTAATTTCTATCATTTTCCAGGTCTCAATTTACGTATCACTTCCAAGAGGCTTTTCTGGACCATTAGCTTTGGTTAAGTGTTCTATACCCCCACTGTAAGGTCTCACATCACCCTATACTTATCCTTTCTTTGTTTATGTAACTGATTAATATCTAGTTCTCTAATGGAATGGAAAATTCATGGAAAGTGGGGTGAAAGAGAGGGATTATTGGAGAAAGGTGTGTGATGAGTCAGAATACAGAATCAAAGATACCTACAGGTAATTATATCTCATGGAAACTGTCCCTTTCTTTATGCCCCTCCTACTTGTCCCTTTTCATTTCTCTTAGGCCACTGTCCTACTACAAGGGTATCATTCTATAACACAAGTCTGATTATCTGATTATGTACATTTAAGACAAACACCAACAATGGTTCTTCAATGACAACAGGGTAATAACAAAATCCTTAGATTATAAAACTCTTCATATTTCCTTCAAAAAACCTGTACATTCCTTTGTCCTGCCACAAATGATCCTTCCAACCTTGCCTGTATAAATACAAATGCACACACCAAAGGCTGCATTCCAGACACTTTCTGCTGCTTGCATACCCTGAACAAACTATCATCTTTCACAACTACTAAGCTTTGGATAGTTGCTCTGCCTTTAACATCTTTGTCTTTAGTCAAACACACTTGAAAGAGAGTAACTAGGGTTCAAATTAATTTCTTTTTTGGAAACAATACTGATTTCCTAAGTGAACAACTTCCTTTTTTCTGTCTTCCCTTTCTGTGTATGTATAGAAAAGGTGTCTCACATGCATTTAGATTTTGAAAATACTACAAATACAGCTGACCCTCAAACAACACAGGTTTGAACTGCACAGTTTCATTTACAAATGATTTTTTTTCAATAAATATATTGGAGAATTTTTTGGACATTGACAAAAATTTGAAAAAACGTCTTCTCTAGCTTACTTTATTATAAGAATAAAGTATGTAACACCTAACATATAAAATATGTGTTAATTGACTGTTGATTGGTAAGGTTTCCTGTCAACAGTAGGATATTAGTAAAGCTTTTAGGGAGTCAAAAAATTATACATGGATTTTCAACTGCCCATGGGGTTGGCACCCATAACTCTCATCGTTCAAGGGGTCAGTGGTACTATACTTTCAAAATACTGTAAAAGCTTTGAAGAAAAGTTAAAGAAATAATTATATAAAAAGTGAGACTCCACCCTTATTTGATTCAATGAACACCTGCCATAGAGTGAGCCCAAGATGAGAGACATGATGTGTTATTCCCTCAGTCAGTCTGGCTCCCAGCTGTATTTCACATTATTCTTACTGTAATTGTAAAGTATAAAAATAAGTATCTATTACACACAATGGTTCCTAAAGCATGCCAGCAACTTCATCAGGTTCTCACCTAAATAAGCATCAACAACTGGAAATACAAGACTTAATGAGAATTGTACAATACTTTATAGGCAATTTAAGGGCTTTTGGAGGGATATTTGAATGTCTTAAAATGTGTATCTTATGTATTTTATTAATGTTTATTATCACTGAGTTCCTAATCAACAGATACAGTTGTTTGTATTTATAAATCTAGTTTCTTCCATTCTAACTACAACTGGCATTTCATTAATGTATTTTTGTTAAATGAATGAATTACTATCAACTAAAAGCTCATATATAATTTAAGAGTTTTTTAAATTCCAAATTTCTGTACTCTCTGCATTTGTACTTGATTCTGAACTCCCGTTTTCCTTCACCCAAGTAATTCTCCCTCTGTTCCAGTATGTCTTTCCCATTGACTGAGATCTTTATTGCCTCCTTTCCTCATTCCATTTGCACTGAAATTAAGTCAATATCCATATGATTTCACTTATCCAAACTTCTTGGGAAAGGTCTTACTATTTACTGAGAATAGATTTGAGAACAGACATTATCGCTACACTTTCAGTCCACAGTCCCACAGTCCCACAATTTTGCTAGGAAGCACTGCTTGTTTACAAATAGAATAAATCAGACTAAATCAAAACATCCTCAGAATGCAAAAAGCAAATCATGTTTACTAATATTTTACACACACACATACACACACAGAGTTAATACATGTTACCAGTATAGCAGTATGCAGCTGTTAAAAGGACAAAGCTCTGCAAGGAGATCTACAATAAAGATTTATTTTGGGGATGGTATTCTATTATTTATGCTTATTTTAAAAAAGCAATGTATACTGAGTTATTGGTTGGGCAGCACAAAGAACTTCATTAAATAGACTGAATAAAATCTGTTAGGGTAAAACTGCTAAATAAAATTTTACTTTAATTTTTCCATTTACATATGAGGTACTTGCATACTGATTCATGAAATTAAAGTGTTCAACACTTACCTCCGAGGATGATTAGCATCAAACAATGTGTTATCATCATCCTCATCATCCTGTTCTAAAGGTGTCAATTCCATGTTTTCTATGTTAGTGTCCAAAACGCCATATCTCCTAGTCTTTCGATTTCTTCTCCTCATCCTATTAAATATAACATATTAATTAATAAAAATTACTTGGATGTGGTATAGATCTTCCTTAATTAATATATTTGTAAATTAAAAATAAATTATCCCTCTGTTTCTGACACAGGAGGTATTCAGCATCAGAATGATTACATTTCAGAAATGCAACTGACTCAATGCCTAGGATCATTTATAAAACAAAACCTACCTCTACACATTTGTGTCCCACACCTTTTCTTCCATTTGACATGATCTCTTCCCTCAGTCAGCTTACAGTTGACATAAATCCTTTAAGCCTTAGTTCAAGTATCATATTTTTACTGAAGCCTTCCACTACAGCCTTTTTCCCATTTCCTCCATGCCTTTTTACCATTGCAAAGGATTAGGTATTTTCTGTCCCACTAAGAAACTGTATGCATGTATGTACTCAAATTCTAGAGTGGGTAGCCTACAATGCTGGCTGCACATCAGAATCACCTAGGGTATTTGAAATAGTTCCATACTCAGGCCATATCTCCACACAATTAAATCAGAATTTCTAGGAATAGGAACGAAGTATCAATATTTTGGTAAAGTTCTGTAAGTGATCCCAATGTGCTGAAAACCACTATCCTGATCACGAAGTATGGTTCCTGGATCAAAAGAATCAGAACCATCCAGGAAATTATTAGAAATGGAAATCCTTATGACCACTCAGACTTATTAAGAAATTTTGAACTTGGGACTCTGAAACCCATGTTTTAACAAACACTTCTTAGGAGTTTGATGCATGCTAAATTTTGAGAACCCACTGCCCTAGAGTAATGAAAATATTGTAGAGTGCTAAATGTTATTATCTGTATGTAGATGAAAGAATATTATGAATTATAACCCTCTCTGCTTCTCTCTCAAATAACTTGTTTTCCTCCAAATTATTGACTTCCATGCATTTATATTTGCTTATGTATATTATTATTTGAATGTTTACTCGCCTGTCTCTCCTACTAAGTTCCATGAAGACAGCAATCATGCCTACCTACTTCACCACTGCATACTTTGTAGTACAAAGTCCAGTTGACTAAGGCACTCCCTGATAAGGGTCTGAGTGACACCATTGTCTAGCTCAGTGATGCCAATGTGACCCTGCAGTCAATACCTAGGTCAGTTCCAATGCAAGAACCTCAACTGCACACACAAGAAAACATGTTTTATACAATACCTACACAATTTTAAAAACAGAAGATAGTTCAGCAAGTAATAACAAATAGATTTACTTAAATTCCAATTTAGTTTGTTTGATGGGATGTGTGATAAGAAATACTACTACAGCTCTAACTGTAAAGAGCAATAGAAGCCTATGCAAACACAACTGTGGAGACCTCTGGAAGACAAACTATCTGACACACACAACACTCATGTACACAAATACATACTGAAAAAACATTTGAGTCTTACTATGTATCAGGCATTGTGCTAGCTTTTGAGTGTAAAGTACCTGGTCTCAGTGATGAAAATTTAGAAAATATTCCTAAGCCTGGACAAAAAATAAGATACTTACACTGATCACTGTCTATAAATCTATCTCTATGTCCACCGAAAGGTGTTGGAACAGGAAACAGAGGTTCAAGTATAGTATTTAAAACTGTAAGTGTGACCAGTACTAATATTAGAAATAGCAGAAATGAGATAGATTGGCAGCAGTATGATACATAAGCTAGTCTTTTTTATATAGTGAGAAATATGTTGTTAAATTAACAAGTATATATATGTGTGTGTGTTGTATGTGTGTGCGTGTATGTGTGTGTATATTCACACACACACACGCACACACACCTCATGTAGACAAGGGGTCTAAACTTTAACAAAGAATCAGATAGTAAATATTTTGGACTCTAGATAACATACGTTCTGTCACATATTCACCTTGATTTTGTTGTTGGCTTTTTCTTTTTAATCCTTTAAAAATGTTAAAAAAATATTCTTGGTTCATGGGCCTTAGAAAACAGGTCAGATCTGGACTATAGGCAATAGTTAGCCAACCCCTGATTTAGACTAATAAAAGTAATNCACACACACACACGCACACACACCTCATGTAGACAAGGGGTCTAAACTTTAACAAAGAATCAGATAGTAAATATTTTGGACTCTAGATAACATACGTTCTGTCACATATTCACCTTGATTTTGTTGTTGGCTTTTTCTTTTTAATCCTTTAAAAATGTTAAAAAAATATTCTTGGTTCATGGGCCTTAGAAAACAGGTCAGATCTGGACTATAGGCAATAGTTAGCCAACCCCTGATTTAGACTAATAAAAGTAATTCACAGAAAACTTAGTATTGATTCCAGGAGTAGGAATAGAAAAGTACAGGAAAGTTAAAGTTTTCTGTTGGTCTTTTTGAATTATATGGCTTAATAACATTTGCATGCATTCCTTTAATTTAAAAAAGTACACACAAGAGTGAGTGAAGCCACTTGGAAGCACAGGAGTAAGTTAAGGATATCCAGAGTCATAATTTGTCCTCTTCCCTTTTGCCAGTCTGTTGCTCAGTTTTCTAAACCATATGGTCTTCCAAACATTCTGACACTTTTAGTCAACAAAGAAGAAACTAGTTATGTAAAATTATTTTCAGGAATTAGATTCTTCCAGGTCATATGTTACATATCAAATGGTCAATATGTTAATAACCTGGCCAATGCCAGTCACAGGATACCTTGGCAAATCTTGAAAAAAGGAATGAATGATATGAACATAAAGGTTAAGGACTTTTGAAATTCATCTCAGCTGACATTCTCCTCCACTCCCAAGGTCTTCATCATACCATCAATAAATTTGCAAACTTTCAATAAGTGGCTAATCTGACTAATCATGCTATTTTCTCTGTGTATAGGGTAAACATTTGCCTTGGTGTGAGTACTGTGTTATTTATTCTAGTTTATATTTTCCTTTAGTTGTGTATATAAATACTTTCTACCAAACATGAATCCAAACTCTTTAAAGATAAGAACCTATTTCATATACAAAATGCATTGTTAGTCACCTCAGATATGGGAAAATGAAGTTCAATTTAAATAAATGTAGTATTTTAATAAATGCTACTAAGTCATACCAGTAAAAAAGAAAACCTGCATATTGTTAAGTAGAATTTAAACCTGAAAAGCAATAACCCTCAAAATGTTTCTCCTAAGTCCAAAGATACAAGCTGTGTCAGCTACATGGCCATGATAGCTACATGGTCATCAAAGCATCATATATAATAAAGCACAAATACATATAACCATACACAATTATTTTTCTCAGGGAAGGCCAAAAACACTTGAAAAGCTTTAAAATTATTGGCTGATTTAATAAACCATCTACTTAAAATACTGACATTGCATGTAAAATACGATACACATAAAGAACACACTTAAATTTTAAGGAAAAAAGGCTACTTTTATCTTTTAACATGTAGCATACATTATTTTAAAACAAGGGTAAAGGCTTTACAATTCACTCCATTCCAACAGTTATGGCATTTTTCCAAACAAATGAATGCTTTCTGTAAGCTCATGACATCCAAACTTGTCTTTGTGTGTTGACAATTACCTACATATGCAGATATACATACTTTTCTACTATAGGAAATACATACTGCAATCTGAAAAGACATTCTGTTTGTTCTTAGTTAACAGAATTAGGAACTATCTATAAATGTGTACAGAGGGAAATATGGAAACTTAAGAGGGCAAAAGAAATAGCCATATTGTTTATTATACTAGACTATATTCACTCATCACATGGCAAAGTATTCAGGTTACTATTCAAGTAGGATACAGACTCCTCAATGTTCCACTATACTAAGGTTGGTAAGAATTATTTCTGTTTAAATAACATGTAAAAGCTACAGTAGAAAAATAAAACTACTAAAGTAAGCTTGATAAAATTTTATGTAAAAATGTATGATACCACATAAAATAAACACAACAGAATAAAACTCCAATCCATTTTACAACTCTATGAAAGAGAGAAAACCAATCAATGTAACTTGCTGTAACTTGCTATACCAATCTGATTTTATTCTTTTTGTTTCAATTGGCCTGAAGGGTATTATTAAGTATGAAATAATATAAGTAGTATTACTCCTTAATATCTTCTATAGCACATTCACTCCCTTGTATGATTAGACATAATAAGGCAGAGTGAATGTTAATAAACAAATGTACTACTGACACATAATTTTTTGTCTTAACTATTTTTAGTAAAAAGATGAATTAGTAACCACAAAGGATTTTGAAACTAATTATTTTGACATTGTGACGCAAGCAAAGGGGGTGGATAAACATTCAGTCCAGAACATTACCTTAATAAAATAGTCACTATTTTAGTTTTCTATGATTTTCATCAAGAAACCCAACCCAACTGGATATATTACATATTATAAAGGTTCTTTCATCTGACACCTTTCTCATTTTCAATTCCCTTCCCAAAACACAATCCATAAGTTGTCATTTCAAGTTCTTCAAGAAGCAGACAACAGTAAGAGATCAAAGTATGTAATGGGTTGAATTGTGTCCCTTCAAAATTGCTATGTTGAAAACTTTATCCCTAGTTCCTTTCTCAAATGTGACTATTTGAAGACAGGCTCTTCACAGAATCAATCCAGTTAAAATGAAGTTGTTAGAAATGTGGGCCCTAATCTAGTATGACTGGTGTCCTTTTAAAAATTTTGAGGGAGGTTCTCAAGATGGTGGCATGAGTAGTGTGGCTGAAATCTCCTCCCAAAACCATACATATTTTGAAAACACAGTGAATACAATTATTCCTAAAAAAGAGACCAGAAGATACAGTACACAAGCCAGGCTACATCTGCTATAACCCAACATCTCATGGAAAAGGGAAAAGGGTAGGATACAAAGTTGTGACCTGTTGGGATCTGAGTAACTGCGCGCAGGGAAGAAAAGAATCAGAGTGGGGAGGGAGTGGAAGCACAGGACTGCTAAATAACCAGCCCTGGTGGTCTGCCCTGGGAGCTGAGACACACACTGGATACGGA